ATGTTTCATTTATTTTGTCTTATTTATGTAATTTAAATACAGTATGTTTCATTTTTTAATATTAAAATATAAACATTTATTTAGTATTTATATTTTAAGATATAAAGAATCAATTTTTAATCATCATTTTTAAAGTTATTAAAAAATTAAAGTTTTATAGAAATATAAAATAAAAAATAAAGTGACAGTAGTGTTTTAGTAAGTAAAAAATATATATTTCAATCATTTTAATATTACATTAGATTAAAAGGTTTTTTATAAAAAATTTATCAAATAATTTTTTATTTTGAAAGTATTTCTGTATAAAATTTTACCAAAAATTTTTATTTCTTAAAAATAAGACTTTTACAATAGATTCTTTCAAATAAGATTTTTATCAAAAGCATCAATTACATCAAACGTACTTAGCTTAAGAACCTCAAATGCATATTATATTAATTTTGAAGTGTTAAAGTATAGCAATGATAAAAAACAAATACAGCAAAATTAATAGTTATTACTTATTGTTCATCAGAAACCAGAGCCTGGATCTCTTCCTGCCAATTGCCAATCGATTGTACTGAACTCCGCATTTCAAAAGGACTCAATTTCAGCCATATATACCTAAAAATCAATGTATCTATAATGGGGAAAAAAAAGTATAAAACCCTAATGGAAATTAAATGAAGTTCTTAGTCAAAAGACTTACTAGGGATTTATTAGGGTTGAGTTCTTTTCTATTATGGTGATTCCTAGACAGGAACTCTCTTTGCTATTCACTTCAATCTTAAAAATTGCTTTCTTTTTAGCAACTAAAGCAATAAAGGATTGCAAATGATAGAAAAGAAAATGAAATGAAATAAAATATGGCTGTCTAGGTAGAAAAAATAAAAATTAATATTTTAAAACACTTTATAAAAAATAAAAATTAATAACATTAACATTTCTTATAATAATAATAATCACATCCTTTTCCCCAATAATTTTGAGAAAAAAATTTTAATTTTTATTACTCTAGTTATTTAAAATAATAGATTATACTTTCTGAGTTTTTGACCCTTTGTAAAACCAGGTTAATGACCTAAAGAAAACACGAAAAGCAGTACACAGAAAGAGTCCAGAATACGCAAGTATAAAGTGTGCCATCAGATATCCAAAAAGGAGGTTTAGATAGATCATAATGATTTTTACAACTGCTCGACAAATATGCATACATAATCTCATTCCATGTATTAGGTAGTCCCAGTAAAAACCAATGAAAACACAATCAGCAAAATCTTTAGGGTCAAATCTCTGTTTCTTGTCAAGAGTTTTTCCCTTCTGTTCACCATAAGGCATAAATAGATATATGAACATGTTTTTGATATTTTGACAATTGTGTATATGTTCAAAACAGTAATGGTTGATCTTTAGTTCTTGCAAGATGTTGCGAACTATCATCATGATGGGAAGACGAGATCCAATTCCCCAGCATGATGCTTCCATCTTTCCCCTTTGATGCATGCTGCAGTAGCAGTTATGTCATTCCAGAAAAAGCACAGAACCAATCCTGCATAAGGAAAAAAAATACATTTACCAATCATAACATGTATCAATAGAGGCATTGATCGATAACTATAAATAACATCATGTATACAATTGCAAGAATTCAGTCGATAAATATAATCTACCAAAATGCAAGGCTAAAATAACCACAATGAAAAGTAAAAATGCAAAAAGCTTGCATACCTAAGAATGATGGAAGGGCAATAAACATCAACTCTTGTCAATAAATCAGCATATCATTTGCAATATCATTATGAACAACTGGGGCAAATGGTGGCCAATCTGCAGAACAAAGAATCACAAGGCAAGTTCTAGATTGTCATGGCACGAAGGAAAGGCTAATTGACCATAAAAGGAAAGTGAAAACAAGCCACTACGTGGATATTATGAGTAATCAACAAACTATAGCATAAACTGCAAGTTACCTCTTACTAAATCCTCTTCTTTCCTACTTCACTTCCTGTGTTGTATATCCCAAAAGAAATAGATGAGTGAAACTTGTAAAAGTCTACATGTTTCACAAGTTCAATCTCCCTGATATACCTCCTGTTGTTGGTTAGGTTCAAATGCCATGGCCAATCTCCCTCCCTTTCCTCTTCAATTCCTAAGATAATTTGAACAGTGTAAACCAGAAAACCATAATCATTGCTCACTTTCATAAAACAAGGAAGAAGTGGCATGCAGGGAGATGGAATCAACTCCTTCCTAGATCCTGCTGTGTTTGGCTATGGCAGCAAGGTTCACAAAAAGTAGAAGAAATTGGATGGAATAGAAAGCATCAGATTGAAAACTGGAAACTTACATAGCATTGATCTGAGGCTTGTTACACTTGTACATCCATTAGATATAGCTCTCAAACACTAACACATCAGCTCCTTCCTAGCTCCTCCCATGTTGGTTATAGCAGCAAGGTTCACCAGTCATCTCACGAAAGTATGATATGTTTCAAGGTATGAATCAGACTCCACCATGAAGGGAGCCTAGTAAGACTCAATTGATGCATTGTACTCCTAAAACACATTTGGATTTGGATTTGGATTTGGATTTGGGGATGGGGTTTAGAAGTTTAGATTGGGGCTAATCCACCATATGAAGTAAAAGAAATAAGTACTAACTAAACAGATGAAAATTGTTAATGATGAGATTGAGACCATATGCCATTTTTAAGGAAAATCTCACTTGAGTTTAAGTCCTCTAAGAAGCCTTATATGGTAACTTGGAAGACTGCTCATCAACAGGGAAGACAAGGTATAGACTATTTCCAACCCACTTCCATGTTTTCCAAACAAACTCCGTGAGTGACCTAAACAAATAATAAATCATTAATATGTGTCTCCACGCATGTGACTTGTGAATGTGAACTTTCACTACATTCTTAGAGAGGAAAGGTGTTCACCTCTGTGCAACATTTCATGACACCAAAAAGAAGCAACTCAGCCACTTGTAGGAAGCCAGAAAATTATGCTAATTTTTATCAAAAACGTCCCCTTGTACAAAACTTTAAGCTTAATAACCTGAAGTAAACAAGAACCATCATTAACCAAGATATGTACTGTTACCAAAAAAATAAAATCAAAATATCTGACAACAGCATATAATTTTCCCAACCCACTGCCATGTTTTTCAAACAAACTCTTCATGTAACCTAAACAGATTGCAATCATGAGTATGTTTCTCCATGCTTGTGACTTGTGAATGTGAACTTTAACTGCATTCTTGGAAAGGAAAAATTCACCTCTTTGCACAATTCATGATCATGACACCAAAAAGTTTTGTAGGAAGCCTGAAAATGATACCAATTTTTATCAGAAACTCTTGTACAAAAATTTTAGATTACAAACAAAAAAAAAAAGCATACCCAGAAACCTAAAAACTTCCTCTCCTTGAGGCCTTACTGGAGCTAGCATACCTAGCAATTAAAGGGGGCTCATTTTCAGTCAAGCTTACCCCAAAACCAAATTATAAAAAGAACAAAATATAAAACAGAAAAAATTCAATAAAACCCTTATGAATACATAGAAATTAAGAAGCATAAGAAAATGAAGAGAGTGGAATGGAATTATCAAATCAAAATACCTAGTGTTTGGATGTTTCACACTTTCTTTGAGGTCTGATTCTTCAGTTTAGCACGTAATTTTCCAGCCAATCTTTTCGTTATTGAGTAAGGGCTTTTACCGGAACATGTTGTCGATTGCTTGTGATTTATTGGGAAAGTTGATGATTTCTCTGGAACTACAAAAATTGTTTCTTTCAACAACTAAAATAACACAGGATTGCAAATGATATAAAAATTATAAATAAAAAAGACTGTCCAGATAAAGTTAAATAAAAAATATATCAAATAAATCAAATAAAAAAAGAAATACTATTAATGTTCCTCCAATCACAGATATTAAATAATCTTATCACCCATAATTTTATCTTGTTAAATGAGAAAAGTGGAATATGAATCCAAACACAAAAACTAAATAGAGTTACAATAGGTCAAAATAGAGATAGTGAAATCTAAACACTTACTAGTTGGAGCTTGTGAGGGAGCAGAGGCTGGGGATATCTTTGTCTTCTAGAACATACCCACTTAGGGTTTCCATCTCAGACACATCCATCTCTTTCTCTTCTAGAATACCCAATTGTTTTCGTTGGGGGAGGAATGAAGGAATTGTGGAAATGCTTTTATTGGCACGTGTTATTGAGGTGGCACGTGGCTTTACATTTGTAGTTTGTAGCTCTTCACTTCAATCTACACAAATTATTTCCCAAATTTTCAACAACTTACTGTAATATATTACCAAAGCAAATTCAAATTAGAATTAAATAGTAGTAAATCGATCAACACCTTACCCTCAATCCCGCGGTTATCTAAAAATATTTCAAGAAGGGTTGAAGGAGGTTCTTAGCGTTAGGATGATCCAACTCCACTGATTCCCACCATTCTTTTGAACTTTCCAATATCTTGATTTCTTTGAGATAAGGAGGAGGAGATGGTTGGCCGTTATCAAGTTGGGGAAGTTGCACAGGGATCCTCTTTAACTCCGGACATTCACCTATTTTAATTGTTTCAATAGAATTACAAACCATAACTCCTTTGGCACTGCAGATGCTCTTCAATTGGGGTAAGCGCGACAAGAACAATTCCCTTAACTTAGGAAAAGTGAAAGTGAATTTATCTATGATGATGCATCCGAATCTAATGATGCTATTATCTCCTGCATTTGATGGCAAAATAAAACTGTAATTGACTCTAAGTTTTGGAGGGTCTGCAGTAGCTCAAGTGGAAGCAACTTCCTTATTCCCGAACATAGCATTACATGAAGCTTTTTAAGATTGGAAAAGACATGCGATGGTGTTGCTTCTCCTTCCACTCTCACAAGTTCACACAACCTAGGCAACTCACTAAGCGACAGCTCTTCAAGCTTATCAAATACAGGACAACGCAATGAGGAGGAGGAGGAAGATGAGTCCAACTCAACCACACACTCTATTTTTTCACAAGAGTTAATATTGCACGTCCTCAACTCATTTGCTTTTTCTAACAGAACTATTTTGCTTAAGCTACTTCCCATGATTTTACATCTCATTATCCACAAATCTTCAAGCTTATTTGGAAGCACTATACATTCTTCCTCGATCTCGCAATCAGTAATTACAAGCTCATGTTTGCTCTTTCTAAACATGTCTTTTGCACTCCCAACTACAAGACTGTAAGCAGTGGCACTTTGGAAATCTTTGAACTTGTTGACAAAATAATTGAAGTGTTGTATGTCATCAAAGTTACATTCTAAAGTCTCCAACTTCTTCAGTCTAGCAACCTCTTCAAAATTTCTTACTATTGTAGTTTCTCGCAAAAAACAAACAGCCAAATACTGGAGACTGGAAAGGTTAAGTAATATTCCTGTTTGAATCTCTTTCAGATTTGGACAAAATAACAAATCAAGATATTGAAGACTTATCAACATCTCCATGCCTTGTGGGAGCACCTCAATCCCTGCCCTGTGCAGGTCCAACTTCTTCAATCCCTTGAGGTTTGCCAAGGAAGGCAAGTACTTTAACTTCTTGCAAAGTTGTAACCGCAGGGTAGATAGATTCTTCAATTCAGAGATGGAATTAGGTAGTGTCTCAATAGCAGTGCCAGAGAGATCAAGAACCTTCAAAGTAAGCATCTCCCCAAAAAAAGATTCTGGAATCTCTGACAAATTAGGATTACTTGATAATATCAATGTCGAGAGGGTGGAACACTTTGGGGACAGACTAAGAGGAACTTTTAAAATGTTATTTGCCATTAGAGACAACTTCTTAGGATCTTTTACCCAACCATGCTCATCTGGTAGCTCTACCAAATTCATACCAGCTTTTATCATATACCCAAATTCAAGACCAATGCTTGTGATAGCCACATCTCTCACCATATCATGCATCTTAACACCATCTACAGCTATTCGGAGTGGAAAAATATAGTCTTTCTCTAATAAGAAATTCTTTTCAAGCCTATCTATAATAGCATGGCCCCTATCATAAGCTGCTTCTCTACTAGGCAACCCATCAAATATTCCTTCATCAATCCAACATTCTATCAACTCCCTTCTAGAAAACAAATAATCCTCCTTAAAGAAGGAGCAATAAAGAAAACAATTCTTGACTTCCAAACTATCCAACCGATCAAAACTAAACCTTAGTCGCTTAAATATCTCATCATTTGAATCTTTCACACTCTTTACATGATCTCTTAATTCAGCCAATGCATTTCTCCACACATTAACATCATCAACTCCCCTCATGCTCCCAGCTATCACAACAATGGCCAGTGGTAAGCCTGCACACTCTTCCACAATAAGCTCTAAGATTTCTTCCAACCCTGGAACTTCTAAAACAACATCCCCAACTGTATTGAGGAATAACTTTAGAGACTCCTCTTGTGAAAGAGGTTGCACTTTAACAATCTTACAACTCAAATAACTGCATACTTCAATTGATCTACTAGTGACAACTACTTTGCACCCATTCTGTGCCTTTGGATCCGGAATTCCAACTTTCCTAAGAGAGAACTTTTCCCATACATCATCTAATATTAGCACAAATTTCACTCTTCCCATTATATCCATTAGTGCCCCCGCTCTCATCATCACTCCATCATCATCTTCATCATCATTTAGAAGTCTTTCGCCCATAGCACCAGCAATCTTCTTTTGTAATTCAAAAACATTGAGAGGATGTGATACAGTAACCCAAATGACTTTCTGAAATCTAGTCTCGCTCTGTAAATCATTGTGGAGATGCTTCATGATCGTAGTCTTTCCAACTCCACCAATCCCACAAACTCCGATCATTCCAACCTCATCACCCATCAAATACCCCCAAATTTCTTCTTTAGTAGAAATTTCCCCCACTAAATCCTCTGTTGGAATTCTGTTTCCACGAGCTGGAGCTCTCTCAATAAGAAGGTCTTCAGGAAAGCTACCTTTTTCATACATCTTCCTCACCACATTCATTTTTCTGCAAACAAGTTTGTGAAGACAGGCACGCTTGTACCACTTGATTCCCTGCACCTTTTCTAAAAATGCTTGTACATCAACATTAATGTCTTGTACTTGCTTAAGCCAGTCTTGCACTTCTCGTCTAACCATTTGTCCCCCGCGAGCCTCTGCTACTTCTATTCTTGATTCTATATCTTGCTTTCGGTTGGTTAGAGTGTCCAATTCTCTTCTCAGCTCACCCACATCATCATTGAAATTTCTATATTGATCTATACAGTTGCAGGTTGGAGTACCACAAATGCAACTCAATGCAATGAAGATTGCCCCAACTATGTCCGCCATTAATTGGTAATTTAAGGTCCTGAAACATAATAAATAATGTGAACAAAAAATACTTCTTCTAGTGTTCGTCAACAGAAAATTCGAAAGCATAAATAAACAATAAAAAAAGAAGAAGTTAAACTAAATTGCCAATTCCAACCATATATAGGAGGTATAAAACCATCCATTACGTACCAAAGGAAATGAGAAACAAACAACTATATATATTATACAAATGAATAAGCTATTTGAAATAATAATTTTATTCCTTTCTACTGCTTGTTTGGCGGCAGATACATTCATCCAATTAAATAAATATGCTAATTGCTTAAGTAATGAACAAGGTTGCAAACTCTCACTAAATTCATAATTGTCTCAAAGTTCTATTTTGTTCAAATAAAGTACCAAAGTAAATGAAATTCTCAAATAAAGTCATAATTAGACAGAATATTTTAGGGCTAAGATTGTTAACTCTAAGTGGCTATTGAATAAACATCCATTTAGAATTTTAGAGTTAATAATTGAAGAGTTCAGTCAATTATACTTGTTGTGTCGGCAAACAAATTTTTTTTGGGAACATGTCATCACTTTTATTATTCAGAACTACTACTAATTAATTGAAAATTTTTCGTTTTAAGTCGAGTTGGTATTCAGAATTAGCCAAAACTGCAAATTTTAAAATTTGGCTAACCATTGAATAAGGTCTCATACTTTCACTAAATTCACAATTGAGATCCCGAAACTCATTTCGCTCAAATAAGGTTATGAAATGAGGTCCAAATTGGGCGAAAATTATTATCTGTTAAATTGGTCATTAATGTCGTTAATTATTTTAATTGGTTAAATATCTAAGATGCATGATCCCTAGCCTTTCTATTTTATCTTGTAATAACCTTAAAGGTTTCAATTACCTCAAAATGCTTCTCAAACTTATTCGTTTTGATGATGTGGCAATTTTGTAAGACCTATAACTAACAATTAATTTTTATTTTAATTACGTGATATTTATGTGGCCTATTATAAAAAAGTTACATTATAGTTTTTTAAAAGGAAAATGATTTTGGGATAACCTTTTTGTACCACCTTTTGATATAACTTGACATGTCATTTAAATGATTAACGCTTTTCATTCATTTGGAACCATGATATTGAATGCATCCATTTATTTAATGACACATGAAAATTATATAAAAATGTGACATAAAAGGTTATCCTTATATCACTGCCTTTTTTAGAATTGTACCAAACAGATTATATCAATTAGCTGAATTGGCAACCATAAAAAAATAGTTAAACCAAAAAGGAACAAAGTAAAGGTATTATAGAGAATTCACAAATTCATCATCATTTTTATAATAAATAAAATAAAATATTAGGTTTCATAAAAAAAAAAAAAAGAAGGCAGGTATCATTTGGCCGGAAAATAGAATATTCTTAGTCAAAAAGGAAAATAAAAAAGATTAAGTTATTTAGGTATGTTAAGTATAGTTGTGGTAGTTTTTGGTTTTGGTTTTCAAAATTCAAACAATTAAAAATA